AAAAGACTATTTTGGGCAATGGAAGATATATACCAGTAAAATTCCTTTAACTAAGCATGGCTGCTGGAAGGTATCATACTAAAACAACATGACTTAATCCCTACTAGGCCACATAAGAACCTAGGGTCCATCATAAGTCATCCGCTTACCACAGGTGGATAAAAAATTACTGCCTAAAGAAGATTAGAACAAAGTATGTCCTGAAAGTAAAGGCTCCTACTAGGCGATAAGTCTCCTTAGACGGTACACAAGAAGGAAATCAAGATCAAGAATAGATAAGTTCCTTAGACGATCAGGAAAAGAAAGGATATCCCAATTGGGTATTTCTTATTAAGAAGAGGTCTTGAGAAGCAGGTCTTTGGAAGAAGCTGGAAATAATTTTTTCATTTTTTACTCTTTCATTTTCTTGTGGTCTACTTAGACATTTTTAGATATTCCCCACCTTTTTTTTTTCAACACATCCTTTTGTAGTTTCCTGTAATCCAGCGGCTTGGTATGATATACGGCAGTAACAACCTGCTGGCAATGATGCGATGGACTAGGAGGGTTTTCACCTAAAGACACTGCGGAGCAAAATATTGTTCCCAAGGCTGAACTTAGAGGCTTTTATGCTTACAATGAGTTAGTTAGATTTGAATGATAGTTTAGTTGTAGTATGTATCATACTGCTCGAATGAAAATGTACTTTTGTCTTCATTTGATTAATAAACTAACAATCTAGCCTAGCTACGAGTATACAAAAAAAAAAAAAAAATAGGTATATACTGTAATTTGTTTATATATATACATTTAGATTGTTTTGTCTTTAGGAAGTTTTAATGTCCTTTTGAGTTTTTAAGTAACTGAAGTAACTTGATTTATCAGGTAAACTTAGTTGTTTCTTAAGTTTCTTACAGTATTAAGAAAGGTATTGACCTATATTGGCCTAGCCATATGCTGTATGAAGTTGATATTGACTTCCTTTTTCTGACTGTGAACCAATTTATAGGTTTCTTTTCTTTTTCTAAAAGTTTTAAGAAAGAAAGTAAAAGAAAATTAGTAAAATAATATATATCTCTTTTCTTGATATTTCTGATAGCTTGTTGTATATATGTTGAAGAAGTTTGATAGCTTGGTTTGAAAGATATATTATTTTTTTTTATATATTTAAAAGGATTTACTTTTTTCAAAAAATTGTTAAAAAAGAAAATTTTTGGGAATAAAGAGAATCAATAGAAAAAGTTTTTTTTTTTATATTTACATTATTACTTTTTTTATAATGAATAATATATAATAAAGTCAATAATTTTTTATTATAGTTCTTCTAATTTGCTATGATTTCTAAAAGTATTCTATAATTAAAAAACCGATTTTTTTTTTTTTTAACTGACGAAGCCATTAAAAAACTTATCTTAGTATTAAAGTCAATATATTTATATAAATAATATATTTTAAAACTTTAATATATTGTTATAGGTTAAATTAATAAGTTCATTATAATCCATAATACTTTATATAATCCAATCAACCAATAATAAATATATTTTATATTAAAAGAAAAAAATATATCTTATAAAAAAATATTTAAGAAAAGCAGAGATGTAATAAATAACTTAATCAAAAGTAAGTATTTTCTTTATTTATATTTAGTTTCTTTTATATAATACTAACAATTATTTTTATTCTCAATAAAAGCTATATTAGTATATTCATTACTGCTTTTTTAGCTTATATTGATATATTTCTAGTTAACAATAGGCTATATACTTTATAATAGGCTATTCTAACTTTAAGCTTTATTAAATTTTTTTTATTTTGTTATTCATAATAGTTTTCTTATTAGTGCTTAAACCCTAATTCATAATTTCTTATTTTATAATACTTAATCTTATATATCAAACTTTTGATTTTAAATTCTATATCTATTACATATAAATTATATTATCTATATAATCTCTAACAATATGTTAATTTAAATACATAAAAATAAATTCAAATTTTTACATAAAATTATTAAATATAATATAATCAAATTTTATAAAAAATGTTCAGATTTGAGTATTAGTTTATTGCAATAAAAATCAAATTATTATGGAAAAATAATTATAATTATTTAATATTTATATGTATAATATAATTTATTCTATTTTTTTTAAAAAAAATTAAGTTATTTTATATTAAACTTATTTATTCTAAAATAAAATACTGATATAAATATAAATTTTATTATTTTATATATTTTAAGAAATAATAATTTACTTTAATAAAAATTTGAATTATAAATAAGTATTAAAACAATTTATAAAATATTTATTATAATATTAGTAATAAAAATAATATAGAATTTAAAAATAGATATAAATTAAATTATTAATATTTTTTTATTAAATTAAAGTAATTTTTATGTTAAATTAAAAGTTTAGAATATTGTTAAGAAAGTTGAATATTAAAGAAATAAAAAAATTTTAAGCTATAAATATATATATTTAATAGGTCTTTAAAATATTTAATGTATAAAATTTTGTAGATTACTAATTTTTTTTTGAAAAAAAAATTTGTAATCTTTTATTTTAATAGAAACTAGATTTAAGAAATGTTGTAAATTTATAATTTAAAAAATAGAGAATTATTATGAATACTATTTATTTTATAATTTTTATATATATCTTGTATATATATTTTTTAAAATATTGATTTTATTTTATTTAAATAATAAAATCAATAAATATAAATTTTTGAAAGTTTTTAATAAAATTTGAACATTTAAAATTATTATTTATTTAATTAAATTATTTTACGTTAAAACTTTAATAATTTTTAATAAAATTTTTAAAATTCTGATAATGATTTTTCTACAAATAACAATTATAGTAAAGAATTGTTTTCCTACACTATTCATAAAAAATATTCTTTAATAATTATTGAAAAAAAAATCCTTTTATATATTGTATATACATATATATATTAAAATCATTTATTTTAAGTATTTATAAATTCAATAACATTGCTTTATTAGAATTTTTAATGAATATTCCAAAAAAAATTTTTTTAATTGGTATAATTTTTAAAATTGAATTTCATTACTAATTTAAGACTTTTGTTCTTTTTCTATTATTAATTGTTTTTAGGACATTTGTTTAATAATAAAAAAAATGTCTCTTTTTATGTATTTATTAATCAATAATATTTTTTTAAAAAATTCGTTAGTGATACGTTCATCTTGAGCGCCATTGTATATATTAAAGTTTTGCGTTCTTTTCTAACAGCTTACAGCGAGATTCAAAAATAAATTCTAATCTGTGGATTTCGTGTTCTCCTTATGAGTTAATCGATTAAGATGCAGGTAAGACTCGGCTAATCCCGAGGTATCAAGAATAATGCTGATTTTTTCAAACATTCTTCTTACCCTCCGATTTACCATCAAACTTACAAATAGCGATAACTCATTATTTCAAATTCAATCAAGAACTTATAAGATACAATTTATAGCAAAATACTAAAAAAAAAACTTAATATTTTTATGGCTCGACTCGCTGAAATTGAACGCGTCCTTCGAGCCTGCCATAACAATTGTTGAAAGGATTTTGAATCAATTGATGAATCTATTGCAACGAGATTATATGAACGTCTGAAGAATTAAATTCATCGAGGACGTAGAACTTCAAATAATGACCCATCTAATCAACCGAGTGAAGCAATTCAATTATCATAAAAATTATTATTTAAGAGAGCAATATTTAGTAGTGTAAAAGGAATTTTCGCTTTTTGGGTTAGAGCTCGAAATGCGTCCTCGCTTTTTCAATTGTATTAATTTAGCTTCTAATTGTATTAGTAAGATGCAAAATAATAATTAAATTTATCAACTATTTTTTTATTAGTGTTTGACAAAGTACTTTCCCTTAAAGCACCATTTCTAATTATAGTCATTTTGTGCATCTACTAAACCACGATGAGCAAATGTCGGAGAAAGAAATTTCGCGATATTTTCAGGATGAATGAGAATCAGTTGAGGCATTTGGTTCATATCAACATTTCCTGTACAACGCCGGTTAGTGAATATGACAAGAACTATATCATATTCGATTTCAAAATTTTCTACCGATTTCAATGTCATTTCATACCACCTTTTAATTTCTAATGCAGAAATAGCAGTTGCCGTATCACGTTCAGAATACTTAATTTGTGAAAAGAACGCTAAGTTTTTTTCATTATTTGCAGATTCAAGGACCCAGCGGTGATCAATGTTAGCACATCCTCGGTAACAGCGGAAAATTCCTTCTTCGAGTGAGCGGGTTACATCGTCATCACATGATACTGACTTGTCAAAACATGCAGTGTCACTTGTCCGTTCAAGAAATTTCTTATTTTCAGTGAAGACCCCGAGTTTATGCAATCGTACTTTGCGTTGAAGAAGTGCATCTACACATTTTGCTCCACGAAATACATCAGATAATCGCCAGTTCTTGTTAAATTCAATGTCAAGATCTTTTTCTAGAATTTCGATTTGGTAATTGATTTGTAATCGTGTTCTGGCATCACTTTCATGTTGTAAGTTTGACTGGAGTAGTTGAATTTCATGATGAATGGATGTCACAGTCGATTCCTTAACATTGATCAAACTATCAATAAAGGCTTTTTGGTTATGTCCATATAGAAGTTCAAAATTTTGCCAATGCCAAGGAGAACCATGTGTTGGAATTAAGAGAAGATTATCTGGTAATACTTTTTCTACTTTAGAAACTAGAAGCTTATTGTTGAGCATCTTCAATAGCATGAAGGGCATATTAATGGTGTACAAATCACCTTTCAAGCAAGAGAGATAGATCAAACCAGCGCGTTCAAGTTCTCCAATAGAAGTACGGCTGGGCAATCGGAAATTTCTGTTAATAGGTTGACCAGTAAGCCCAAATGAAATTATAGTACGTATATCATGAAAGCTTTTCCAATTGCCCGGCTTATCTCCAACCGTAGCAACAGCCCGTCTTGACATTTTAGCAAAAAGCTGATTCCCCCAATCAAGATCTGACCTGAGAACAGGATGCTTCAAGAGATCATCAATTAACTTTGGAATGAAACCAGTGTCAAAAATCGCTGTGCGAAAGTGTTGCTGGTTCAGAACAAAGTTGCAAAACTCCGTTGAAAGACTTTCGATATTTTCATTATTAAGATCAGAGGAATAATGTAATTTGAGACTTTGAACAACTAGATTTCTTCCCGTTTCGGTTGTTTGCCTCGAATATTCGTACTTATCAAGAAACATTGACTTTGCTGAGTCATAATTCAAAGGATTGAGCGCAAGCAATATTTGAGTATGCTCCGTAGGCAAGAAACGAATGTCAATGGCAGACGTTCCTGTATAGATCGGAATGATAAAATATTTGTAATCATACTCATCTTTCATATTATTACCACGCATGACACTACCAATCCCCTTTAGCATTGATTTAAAGAAATCGCAAGAATCTATCCATGATAGTTGTTGGTATTGTTGAACATCATTAATATAACGTTGATATTCGTCAAGATGGATGATGATAGTCTCAACTGAACGCTGTTGCATTTTAAAGCGACGTTTAAGAATCTCGCATATCACATCAGAAAGTCCGAAGAGTTTTGGATCGTTTTTTGCTAATAGACTATATAGATCAGGACACTCAGGCACCAACCCTGAAGCCACTGCAACACGCGTTCCTATTCGCACACTTGGGTTTTCCACATCATCGAAACCTCTAATATATTTACTTCCATTATTTAAGTCAATAAAGATGTAACAGGGATCTTTTAGAGTCGCCATTTCTTGTTGACAGTATAGAGGGCAGATGCTTTGATTCCCAGCCCATCCGTGTCTTTCCTATTCCTATCCCTCCAGGAATTAGGATAAATGTATGATCTTTCTGGTCGGGATTGCTGCGACCCTTGTAGTTATGGCGAGCGACTTCCAACATCGAATTTAGAGCCTGATCACGATCGTAAAACTTGTGAGAAGGAATCTTTATGGCAGGAGGTTGCAATATTGACGAAGCAAGGAGAGAAGTCAAGGTTTTCGCTAAAAAATGGAAAATGAATTTTAAAATAAGAACACGATTACTAGTCAGCATAACAGAATATATTACGTACGTGTTTGTTTCTCCTTTTTTCGGGTTCCGCTTTCTTCATCTGAGTCCACGTCTTCGCATCTTCCTTTTCCTGATCGAATAAAAGATTAGATAACCGCAAATTTCTTGTTCGAGAAATAAGACACTTACCAGTGGTGACAGGCGGTTGTACGATAATTCGGATATTACTAGAGGACTCGTGAAAATATTCTCCAACAGTTTCGAATGGATATAACATTATACCTTGGTATTGTTCCTTTATATTTTCAGAGTAAAGTATCGTGTCCTTGTTTTCTCTAGTGAGAGGAATATTCACACTCCATAGATTTAAGCTTTTCGCGGATATGTGGTTTAAATCGGACACATTTTTTTTTGATGAGTTCCTTGAGATGCCCAATGGTCATGTTTTCACTAATATCAACCGGGAAAGATCTCTTAAAGGCATCACCTAAAACGACACAAAATATCTGAAAAATCATTAAAAAATTATTTTGTAAAATTAGATTATTATAAATCTCAAATACCATGATTTCCGCGGTGCCGGATAACATTTCAAATAAAGTAAAAAAAATGTTTCAGTAAAAAGAAGGCACCTGCGAATTTATAATTTACGGTGAATAAATATGACTAGACTAAATAAGATTTTTACAGGCTGATAAAATTTAGTGATCTCTGATTCGCTTTATACTGTAACCACTTCTATTTGATTCAAAATAATTCAAAACTCTCTACTAATCTTTTAATTATATAAAAAAAAAGTATTCACAAAAAGTTTTAATTTCTATATTAACAAAATATTATTATTTTTCTTAAAACAACTTAAAAAATAATACCAAAGATTTTTTTATACTCTCTTTATATTTTTTAAACAAAAATTTGACTTGTGATAATTAAGAAAAGTTAAGAAACATCTTTTTTATTTATTGCAAGAAAGTTTTAAAGAAAGAAAATAAATAGACATATTAAAAATTTATTTTCTGAATAAAAATATATATAAAGATTCTTTACAATAAATAGATAAATAAATATAAATCTAAATCTGCTAAAAAAAAACTCTTTTCACTAATCCTCTAATCACACATAAAAATGATGTTCACAAGAAGTTTTTATACTTCTTGACTAATAAAGTCTTTCTACTTTCCTTAAAACAACTTGAAACTTGTCTTCACTTATCTCTATTATCCTCTATTACTTATTTATAACTTCTTTGAATAAAAACTTGGATCTCTGGTGATCTGAAAATACTTAAATATATACTTCCTATACTAAGGACAAGAAGGTTCTAAGAAATAAAATGACTGATAAGTAGAGTGTCATCTTATAGAGCTGGAAGTGACAAAAATAGAGGTTTTGTTAACAAGGAAAGACTTATTATCTATTTTCTTATATACTAGCTTGTACTCTCTTAGAATGTTTACTATTTTTCATAATTTTTTTGAAGGATTTTATCTAACTCAGTTTAATCTTGAATTTCTGATAGTACAATGTTATCTGGCATCTAATTGGTTAACATAAAACACATTAGTAACAGAATGTAAACAAGCTTTTATTGACTATACCCATGTATTCTAATGATATTATTGGTAAATGAAAGAGTTGATTGGTATCCCAGTTCTATCTACTCTTTCAATTAGATTAACCTATAAATCAAGTTTCATGAGACCAATAAAATATAAGTAATATGTTCTTAGATGGTAAAAAGGCTACTATTTGTTCAAGTTAAAGTCTTTCTCTCTTATTATTCCAGTCAAGAAAAGTTCAAGACCAAGATTTTCTTTTTATTTTGATCAAGCAATAAGACGGAATAGTCTCTAGTTCATACTAAGCTTCAATCCTTTGATTATAGTAGAAAATATATTTCTTTGGAAGTTGTTGAAAGATATTATAATCAATAATAATTCTTATCATTTTTTGAAATCCTCTTATTATTACAAATCAAAAGAATTATTGGGAATCTGACCTTTTAAATAATAGAATATGTACATTAGTAAAATTTCTTTAACTAGGTGTGACTGCTAAAAGACATTATATTAAAACAATATGGCTTAGTTCCTACTGAGTTACATAAAAATCTAAGATTCATCATAAGTTATCTCTCTATTGCAGATAGATAAAAAATCACTGTCCAAAGAAGGTTGGGATCAAATGTGTTCTGGAAGTAAAGACTACTACTAGATGATAAGTCTTTTTAGATAGTATATAAGAAGAAAATCTAAATCAAGAATAGATAAATTTCTCAAATGGTCAGAAAAAGAAAAGATATTCCAATTGAGCATTTCTTATTGAGAAGAGATCTTGAGAGTGGGTTTTTGAAGAAAGTTGGAAAATTTTTTTTCAATTTTTATTTTTTTATTTTCTTATTGTTTGCTTAGACATTTTTAAATATTCACTCTATCCTTTTTTAATTTATTCTTTTATAGTTTTCTATATTCCAGTGACTTGATTAGACATATGGTAGTGATAACTTGCTGTCAATAATGCAGTGGACAAGAAAGGTTTTCACCTAAAGATACTGTGAAACGAAATATTGTTTCTAAGGCTAAACTTAAAGACTTTCATATTTATGACAAAGTTGGTTAAATTAAAATAATATATTAGCTGTAGTATGTATCATGTTGTTCAAATGAAAATATACTTATATTTTTAATTGATTAATAAACTGATGATTTAGCCTAGTTATAGGTACTCAAAAAAAAAATAAACAAATACTTAAATTTTTCAGATAATTATAAAAAAAAAATATCTCAATAAAATATTTTTATTAAAAAAGATTTTAAAAAATAAATTTTTGAAGAAAATAAAAAAATTTATTATCTTTTTTTATTATTATTTATTAATTTTTTTTTTTAATCCATAGTCAGGTTAACATATCATATCTTTATTATATAATATATAGTATATGTAAAATATTTACAAAGTTATTATAACTTTCACATATTAACTTATCTGTTATAGAAAAATTAATTCTCTAGATATAATCCAAGAAATAATATTTTGCTTCTTTGCTAATTTGAATTAATCTTAAATTAGTAAAATAATTGCTATAATGCATTACTATAGATAATTCTATGTTCTGTCTACAGTTTAAAATTCAAACTATTTAATACTATAACAGATCTATTCTCTAATAATTTCTATATAATTCTTTTTTTTTTCTTTTATTTTTTTGTTCCATATTACCAAAGATAATATCAAATCTTTAGGGTTTTTATAGAATCAATATATTCAGCCTATCTTTATACTTTTTTTTTTATTTCTTTTCTTTGATAATATCTAACTTCTTTTTTCAATTTATTATCTTAGCATAATAACTGTTTCAAATCTTTTTTTAAAAAATTTTTTGTATATTCAAACAAAGCTTGCTAATTATAGACTGTGTAATTAATAAATAGATCTTTAAAACTACTTTAAAATCTTGTTATTACTACTAGAATTCATATAAAACTCATTTCTAATTCACCATATTTGATCAGCTTTTTGAAAGAACTACCTATATAAAATATGAAATAAGTATTCATTTTGATTTTGTTATATCTTAAAATATATATCAATTCATTCTGATGTTTTTCAATTGAATTACTTGTTTAATCAATATGGTCTTCCAATTCTCTACTTATATCTCTATTCTAATTGAATTATTATTTGAAAAAGTTATTCTTTGATGACTCATGGATATCCACCATTCTATAGAATTGCCTATAAGAAGAATTTGCTTTCTCTTTCTTAAACTCTTTTGTTTTTTAAATATAAAAGCAAATGAATTTGTTTGAATATTATATTAAGAGACTAAATTGATATATTAGAATAATGAAGAGTATAGTTAATAGTAGAATTATATAAGAGTTAATATGAAGTGAAGTGAATTTTGTTATTTGAGAATCTAATTTTTCCTATCCTATCATATTGAGTATTAGAAAAGATTCTTCAATATATTTTCTTCTTATCAAAGTTTATGATATTATTCCAATTTATATATTATAGCTTATTTAATTTATTCTATATAATGACTTTCATAAGAGATTCTGGTTTACTGTTATTTTTTTTAGTACATTTTTGAACCAGCAAGAGACAGGTCCTTTGTATTTGCCATAAAGAATTTGAACTGCTCTCCAGTCTTTAAATATCATTGTTGTGGTATTAATAAGTTGATCTAGATATATAATCTTATATTTTCTTAAGGATAAAATAGTCTTTTTGTACTCTCTATCATTTTGCAAAATAAACTTGATAGAGAAGATCCCTTTCTGATAGTCAAAGATATTTTTTTATTTTCAACTTTGAAATATAATTTGCAATTTGTTGAACAAGGCTAGTGTTGTAGTTACAAAGTTTTCTTTAATGAGTCTATTAGATTCTATAGAATTATTTAAGATATTTTTTGACTCCCAACTTTTAATTTAACTTTGTTTTAGATAAATTATGATAACAATATCAGAGATATTATTGTTATTGAATTGATAAAATAATAATGATATATAACTTTCTAGTTGTATTTTTTAGATACTTTATGAATATAACTGCTTAATATTATTTCACAAATAAGAACTTTGTTCTTTAATTTCTTTCAGTATATAGCTATAAGACTCTGCAAGTTTTTTTATTAAGATGTATATATTGCATTTTATATTTTATTCATGGGATAAGAACTCTGTTTATAATGTAACTGATACGTTTTTTAGTCAACTTCTTCTTGTTTATA